ACAGAAGAAGGAACAAGAGCGTATAGAAAAGGAACGTATGCGTCGTTTGATGGCCGAGGATGAAGAGGGTTATCGTAAGCTTATCGATCAAAAGAAAGATAAACGTTTGGCATTCCTGCTCTCACAAACCGATGAATACATTAGCAATCTCACACAGATGGTGAAGCAGCACAAGGACGATCAAATGAAGAAGAAAGAAGATGAACAGAAACGTTTGCTGCAATACAAGAAGGAGCTGTTAGTGAGTGGAGAATACATAAATATTGATGATAGTAGTGTAGCGGCTGATTTGCATGTCACTGTGATGGAACAAAGCACTGGCAAGAAATTGACCGGAGAAGATGGTCCTGTACTGAAACATTTACACAGATGGCTAGAACAACATCCCGGTTGGGATTGGGTGGAAGATGATGATAATGCCGTTAATGAGGAAGAGAAAATCAAGAAGAAAAGGAGAAACAGGAGGGAGAAGAAAATGCTAAAGAGGGTGATGAAAAGAATGAAGAAAATGCCCTTATTGAAGATCCTTCGGCTTTCATTAAAAAGGTCAAAGTTGAGGATGATGAATATCGTACCGAGGAGCAAACCTATTACAGTATTGCCCATACTATACACGAAAAGGTTACCGAACAGGCCAGTATTATGGTTAATGGTAAATTAAAGGAATACCAGTTGAAGGGTCTAGAATGGTTGGTTTCTTTGTACAACAATAATTTGAATGGCATCTTGGCTGATGAAATGGGTCTGGGTAAAACTATACAAACCATTTCTTTGGTTACCTATTTAATGGATCGCAAAAAGGTTATGGGTCCTTTTTTGATTATTGTTCCCCTTTCTACTCTACCCAATTGGGTGTTGGAATTTGAAAAATGGGCTCCCTCGGTGGGTGTAGTCAGTTATAAGGGTTCTCCCCAGGGCCGCCGACTTTTGCAGAATCAAATGCGCGCCACTAAATTCAATGTTTTGCTCACCACTTATGAATACGTTATTAAAGATAAAGCGGTATTGGCCAAAATACAATGGAAATACATGATTATCGATGAAGGTCATCGTATGAAAAATCATCATTGCAAACTGACACAAGTTTTGAATACTCACTATATAGCGCCCTATCGTTTACTGTTGACCGGTACTCCCTTGCAAAATAAATTGCCCGAGTTGTGGGCTCTATTGAATTTCTTGTTACCCTCTATTTTCAAATCCTGCTCCACCTTCGAGCAATGGTTTAATGCTCCCTTTGCCACTACCGGTGAAAAGGTCGAATTGAATGAAGAGGAAACCATTTTGATTATTAGACGTTTGCACAAAGTATTGCGTCCCTTCTTGCTGAGACGTTTGAAGAAAGAAGTCGAACATCAATTGCCCGATAAGGTGGAATACATTATCAAGTGTGACATGTCCGGTTTGCAAAGAGTTCTCTATAAACACATGCAAAGCAAGGGTGTTTTACTAACCGATGGTTCCGAAAAGGGTAAACAGGGCAAGGGTGGTGCTAAGGCTCTTATGAACACAATTGTACAATTGCGTAAGCTGTGTAATCATCCATTTATGTTCCAGCATATTGAGGAAAAGTTCAGTGATCATACCGGTGTTCACGGCATGGTTTCGGGTCCCGATCTCTATCGTGTATCGGGTAAATTTGAATTGCTAGATCGTATTTTACCCAAACTTAAGGCCACTAATCACAGAGTATTGCTCTTCTGTCAAATGACACAGTGCATGACTATAATTGAGGATTATTTGAGCTGGCGTCAATTTGGTTACTTACGTTTGGATGGTACCACCAAGGCTGAAGATCGTGGTGAACTTTTGCGCAAATTCAATGCCAAGGATTCGGATTATTTCGTTTTCTTGCTTTCCACTCGAGCCGGTGGTTTAGGTTTGAATTTACAAACAGCCGATACTGTGGTGATTTTCGATTCCGATTGGAATCCTCATCAAGATTTACAAGCTCAGGATCGTGCCCATCGTATTGGTCAGCGTAATGAGGTGCGTGTCTTGCGTCTTATGACAGTGAATTCTGTGGAAGAACGTATTTTAGCTGCCGCACGTTATAAGTTGAATATGGACGAAAAGGTTATTCAGGCCGGTATGTTCGATCAGAAGTCTACGGGCAGTGAACGTCAACAGTTCTTGCAAACCATTCTACATGCTGATGATGCCGATGAGGAAGAAGAAAATGAGGTGCCTGATGATGAAATGGTCAATATGATGATTGGCCGTAGTGAAGAGGAAATTGAGTTGTTTAAAAAGATGGATATTGAGCGTAAGAAAGAGGATGAACGTTTGCATCCTGGCAGAGAACGTTTAATCGATGAATCTGAGTTGCCCGATTGGTTGACCAAGGACGATGATGAGGTGGAACGTTGGCATACTTATGAGGAGGACATTATTTTGGGTAAGTGGAAATATTCTTCAGATGTACAAAATGGAATAGTTCACAAAGTTCTATTTAAGTTCAGTTTCAGTTCATGTTCAGTTCTAGTTCAGTTTCAGTTTATGTTCAGTTCTAGTTCAGTTCTATTTCAGTTCTAGTTCAGTTCTAGTTCAGTTCTAGTTCAGTTCTAGTTCAGTTCTAGTTCAGTTCTAGTTCAGTTCTAGTTCAGTTCTAGTTCAGTTCTAGTTCAGTTCTAGTTCAGTTCTAGTTCAGTTCTAGTTCAGTTCTAGTTCAGTTCTAGTTCAGTTCTAGTTCTAGTTCAGTTCTAGTTCAGTTCTAGTTCAGTTCTAGTTCAGTTCTAGTTCAGTTCTAGTTCAGTTCTAGTTCAGTTCTAGTTCAGTTCTAGTTCAGTTCTAGTTCAGTTCTAGTTCAGTTCTAGTTCAATTCTAGTTCAGTTCTAGTTCAGTTCTAGTTCAGTTCTAGTTCAGTTCTAGTTCAGTTCTAGTTCAGTTCAGTTCTAGTTCAGTTCAGTTCATTTCAGTTCTAGTTCAGTTCTAGTTCAGTTCAGTTCTAGTACAGTTCTAGTTCAGTTCTAGTTCAGTTCTAGTTCAGTTCTAGTTCAGTTCTAGTTCAGTTCTAGTTCAGTTCTAGTTCTAGTTCAGTTCTAGTTCAGTTCTAGTTCAGTTCTAGTTCAGTTCTAGTTCAGTTCTAGTTCAGTTCTAGTTCAGTTCTAGTTCAGTTCTAGTTCAGTTCTAGTTCAGTTCTAGTTCAGTTCTAGTTCAGTTCTAGTTCAGTTCTAGTTCAGTTCTAGTTCAGTTCTAGTTCAGTTCTAGTTCAGTTCTAGTTCAGTTCTAGTTCAGTTCTAGTTCAGTTCTAGTTCAGTTCTAGTTCAGTTCTAGTTCAGTTCTAGTTCAGTTCTAGTTCAGTTCTAGTTCAGTTCTAGTTCAGTTCTAGTTCAGTTCTAGTTCAGTTCTAGTTCAGTTCTAGTTCAGTTCTAGTTCAGTTCTAGTTCAGTTCTAGTTCAGTTCTAGTTCAGTTCTAGTTCAGTTCTAGTTCAGTTCTAGTTCAGTTCTAGTTCAGTTCTAGTTCAGTTCTAGTTCAGTTCTAGTTCAGTTCTAGTTCAGTTCTAGTTCAGTTCTAGTTCAGTTCTAGTTCAGTTCTAGTTCAGTTCTAGTTCAGTTCTAGTTCAGTTCTAGTTCAGTTCTAGTTCAGTTCTAGTTCAATTCTAGTTCAGTTCTAGTTCAGTTCTAGTTTAGTTCTAGTTCAGTTCTAGTTCAGTTCAGTTCTAGTTCAGTTCTAGTTCATTTCAGTTCTAGTTCAGTTCTAGTTCAGTTCTAGTTCAGTTCTAGTTCAGTTCTAGTTCAGTTCTAGTTCAGTTCTAGTTCAGTTCTAGTTCAGTTCTAGTTCAGTTCTAGTTCAGTTCTAGTTCAGTTCTAGTTCAGTTCTAGTTCAGTTCTAGTTCAGTTCTAGTTCAGTTCTAGTTCAGTTCTAGTTCAGTTCTAGTTCAGTTCTAGTTCAGTTCTAGTTCAGTTCTAGTTCAGTTCTAGTTCAGTTCTAGTTCAGTTCTAGTTCAGTTCTAGTTCAGTTTCTAGTTCAGTTCTAGTTCAGTTCTAGTTCAGTTCTAGTTAGTTCTAGTTCAGTTCTAGTTCAGTTCTAGTTCAGTTCTAGTTCAGTTCTAGTTCAGTTCTAGTTAGTTCTAGTTCAGTTCTAGTTCTGTCAGTTCTAGTTCAGTTCTAGTTCAGTTCTAGTTCAGTTTAGTTCAGTTCTAGTTCAGTTCTAGTTCAGTTCTAGTTCAGTTCTAGTTCTAGTTCAGTTCTAGTTCAGTTCTAGTTCAGTTCTAGTTCAGTTTCTAGTTCAGTTCTAGTCGTTCTAGTTCAGTTCTAGTTCTCAGTTCTAGTTCAGTTCTAATTCAGTTCTAGTTCAGTTCAAGTTCAGTTTTAGTGTTCTAGTTCAGTTCCAGCACAGTTCAAGTTCAGTTGTAGTTCGTTTCTAGTTCCAGTAATTACATATTTCTTTTCCCTTTTTATAGGTCGCGGTTCCCGTCAGCGCAAGGAAGTCGATTACACCGATAGTCTTACCGAGAAAGAACTATTACGAGCCATTGATGATGGCGCCGAATTTGATGATGAAGACGAGGAGGAAGAAGCTAAACGCAAGAGACGTAAACGTAAAAATCGTAAAGATGATTCGGATGATGAATCTCTGGCGGGTCATTCAATTAAACGAAGACGTCGTCAAAATATCGACAAAAAACTTAAGAAACAAATGGGTAAAATAATGTCGGCTGTCATAAAATACACCCACGAAGATGGTCGCATTATATCGGAACCTTTTATGAAACTACCCTCCCGACAGCGTCTGCCAGATTATTATGAAATCATTAAAAGACCGGTGGATATAAAGAAAATCTTGCAGCGCATAGAAGATTGTAAATATGCCGACTTGGATGATTTACAAAAGGATTTCGTGCAACTATGTCAAAATGCCCAAATTTACAATGAGGAGAATTCTTTAATTTATCTAGATTCCATAGAGTTGGAGAAAGTGTTTGTGAATGCCAAACAACGCATACAAGCACAAGCTTCACAAAATTCCTCCATCACCGGTGAAGGTGGCAATGCATCGGATAACTCAGAAAATGAAGATAATTCTGGTCAAGATAATTCTGATGATGAAGAAATAGCCTCCACCTCAGCGGCTGCCGTTAAAATGAAACTTAAACTTAATAAAACCATAGCCAGCACACCCACCACTCCCACACCCTCGTCCGCACCCCCAGTAAGTGCTTCGACTAGTAAAAAGCAAACAAGACGCAAACGTTCTCAAAAGAAATACACCATATCGGATGATGATGATGACGATATGGATTAGCTACCACTCGGAGTGGTATTCTCTTTGCAAACTCATCATGATTAAAGAAAAAAGAAGCTTAAACATGTTTCTATATTTACATATTTTAAACATTGGGTTTTCAGTTTTTCTTGATTTAGTTGTTAAATATTTTTGCTTGTCCCCCCTTTATTTCATTTTTAACATATTTATTCTTAAAATAATTGGTTTAAAATTTTATCCACTCTATAGATTTTTGTAAAATTTTGTTTAATAATTTGCTTTTAATCACTTCTTTTTTTTTTTTTTTCTTATTTAAGTATGTCTTTTATTTTTTTCAAACATATGTACGTATTTCTTTTAGTTTACTTTTTTAAATATAAACGCAAATAAAAAATTTATAATATTTAAAATATACCATTTGCGGAAAATGATAAAAAAAATTATAAAAAATAAATTGCTATTCTTCAGAATTAGATTTAAACAGGAAAATTTAAAATAAAAATGTAATTCAAAATTATTCTAACAAAAATACATTTATTAAAGAAAAAAAAATATTCAATATATTAAATAAAAAAATACTTACATTAAAAAACAATAATCAATGTTTTTATTTGGAAAATAACCATAGCGTACAAGGTAGGTGAGAGCAGTGTTTTATGGGAAGCTTTACTTTACACATAAACAGTTTAGAAACAAAATAAAACATTTTTATAATTTTCTTTTCCGCCTGTAAAACCAAACCCCATATAAACAGTGTCATGACCTTATAGCTATAAAACTCACTATAACTTTAAAGTTTAAGCGCATTCTTAGTAGTTTATTTAGTAAAGCGAAAGAGAGAGAGAGAGAGAGGAGATTAGAAAAAGGAATTTCTTCCGCATTATATTTTTTTAAAGAATTTCTAAAAACAGGTACTAATTACAAATTAGGAGATTTAACATAGATATTTAACATGTAAACAAGTTTACACTTATAAACGGCTAAGATTAAATAACGGTTAACACTACTTACAAAACAGACTATGTAGCTACAGAGAGACAAACAGGTGTGTGAATAGACCTCAGGTATGGAAAATTGAAAATTTTGAAAGTAGACTTTAGACTTGAATATAAACTAGTCTATATATAGACTAGACTATAGACTAGACTATAGCCTAGACTATAGACTAGACAAGACTATAGACTAGACTATAGACTAGGATAGACTATAGACTAGACTATAGACTAGAATAGACTATAGACTAGACTATAGACTAGACTAGACTATAGACTAGACCATAGACTAGACACTATGAACTAGACTATAAACTAGACTGTACACTAGACTATAGACTAGACTATAGACTAGACTATAGACTAGACTATAGACTAGACTATAAACTAGACTATAGACTAGACTATAGACTAGTCTATAGACTAGACTATAGACTAGACTATAGACTAGACTATAGACTAGACTATAGACTAGACTATAGACTAGGCTATAGACTACACTATAGACTACACTATAGACTGGACTATAGACTAGACTATAGACTAGACTATAGACTAGACAATAGACTAGACAATAGACTAGACTATATACTAGACTATACACTTGACTATAGACTAGACTATAGAATAGACTCTAGACTAGACTATAGACTAGACTATAGACTAGACTATAGACTAGATTAGACTAGACTTTAGACTAGACTATAGACTAGACTATAGACTAGACTATAGACTAGACAAGGCTATAGACAAGACTATAGACTAGACTATAGACTAGAATAGACTATAGACTAGACTATAGACTAGACTATAGACTAGAATAGACTATAGACTAGACTATAGACTAGACTATAGACTAGACTATAGACAAGAGTATTAACTAGACTATAGACTAGACTATAGACTATATTATAGTCTAGACTATAGACTAGACTATAGACTAGACTATAGACTAGACTATAGACTAGACTATAGACTAGACTATAGACTAGACTATAGACTAGACTATAGACTAGACTATAGACTAGACTATAGACTAGACTATAGACTAGACTATAGAGTAGACTATAGAGTAGACTATAGACTAGACTATAGACTAGACTATAGACTAGACTATAAACTAGACTATAGACTAGACTATAGACTAGACTATAGACTAGACTATAGACTAGACTATAGACTAGACTATAGACTAGACTATAGTCTAGACTATAGACTAGACTATAGACTAGACTAGACTATAGACTAGACTATAGACTAGACTATAGACCAGACTAGACTATAGACCAGACTAGACTATAGACTAGACTATAGTCTAGACTATAGACTAGACTATAGACTAGACTAGACTATAGACTAGACTATAGACTAGACTATAGACTATAGACTAGACAATAGACTAGACTATAGACTAGACTATAGACTAGACTATAGACTAGACTATAGACTAGACTATAGACTAGACTATAGACTAGACTATAGACTAGACTATAGACTAGACTATAGACTAGACTATAGACTAGACTATAGACTAGACTATAGACTAGACTATAGACTAGACTATAGACTAGACTATAGACTAGACTATAGACTAGACTATAGACTAGACTATAGACTAGACTATAGACTAAACTATAGACTAGACTATAGACTAGACTATAGACTTGACTATAGACTAGACTATTGACTAGACTATAGACAAGACTATAGACTAGACTATAGACTAGACTATAGACTAGACTATAGACTAGTCTAGTCTAGTCTATAGTCTAGTCTATAGTCTAGTCTAGTCTATAGTCTAGTCTATAGTCTAGACTATAGTCTAGACTATAGTGTAGTCTATAGTCTATAGACTATAGACTTGACTATAGACTAGACTATAGACTAGACTATAGACTAGACTATAGACTAGACTATAGACTATACTAGGACTAGACTAGACTATAGACTAGACTATAGACTAGTCTATAGACTAGACTATAGACTAGACTAAAGACTAGACTATAGACTAGACTACATACTAGACTATAGAGTAGACTATAGACTAGACTATAGACTAGACTATAGACTACACTATAGACTAGACTATAGACTATAGACTAGACTATAGACTAGACTATAGACTGATTATAGACTAGACTATAGACTAGACTATAGACTAGACTATAGACTAGACTATAGACTAGACTATAGACTAGACTATAGACTAGACTATAGACTAGAATATAGACTAGACTATAGACTATACTATAGACTAGACTGTAGACTAGACTATAGACTAGACTATACACTAGACTATAGACTAGACTATAGACTAGACTATAGGCTAGACTATAGGCTATAGACTAGACTATATGTAGGCTACACTATAGACTTGACTATAGACTAGACTATAGCAAAACTATAGACTATAGTCTAGACTATAGACTAGACTGAACTAGACTATAGCAAGACTAGACTATAGACTAGACTATAGAAGAATAAAGACTAGACTATATACTAGACTATGACTATAAACTAGACTACGGACTATATCATAAACTACACTATAGGAAAGACAATAGAACTAATCGCAAAATGTTTATAGCTAGAAAAGTACAGAAATTTCGTGGGCCTAATGCGTTATTTTTAGTGGCCAAAAAGTACTATTGTACTGAATTTTCCATGCCTGGTATAAAATTTTACTCTTTTAAGAGTAAACAGACATAATTTCTAAAATGAAAGAGAAATAAATAGAACTGTGTGTGTTTTGTGCGAAAAAGGGTACTTGCTGTAACAATATGAGAGTTTACAGAGGAAAAATTTATTACCTGTCGTAGCAAAACCACTACAAAACAAGAATATAGGTTAAAAATCCCATTATACACATATAGAAAATACTATTATAAAATAAACGGCTGTTAGGCTGGCGGACTGACTGGTTGTTTTAAGAAACTGTAAAGAAAAACTGATTCATGAAACCACATTCCATAAATGGTAGGACAAGGTGAAAGACGTGTAAATAGTCTGGCATTTAGTAGAACAAACATTAAACCATAGACTAGTCACCTAGTGTTTGGTTAATAAAAAGACCAGAGCATAAGCGGTTAAAATAAGTAAACGTTTACTTACAATATGTGAAGTGAAGTGAGAGTTCAAACAAAGAGATTGAGGGAAAAATCAATGGGTCTTAAGTTGGAGATTTAAGAGGAGAGTGTGTGCAAGAGTTGTACTAAATATATTGTGGTATGAATGGTTTAGTTTGAAACCAATAAGACGTGGCGTTGGATGGAGGAATATTAATATAGAAAAACACGCAAGATATTTTAAAAGAATTAAAAGAAAAAAAGTCTAAATCTGTACGATATTAAAAGCAAATTAATTAACAAAATTTTAAATAAACAAGTTGAAATCACAAGAAAATATAAATATTTATTAGAAAAAGTAATAGATTTAAAATAGTGAAAGTGTTAAAGAAATTTTGTAAGATATTTTTAAATATAAACCCACACAAACACCTTCAAAAAATATGAGAAAATTAAAATGTTGCTTAATTTTCAACTAAATGATTACAAAATCAATTTTGTTTAAATTAAATTAAAAGTAATTATATTAAACTAATACAAAAAACAACAACAATATGTCCACAAACTCCAATAATATTTTACAAAGACGTAAACCGTCTAAAAACAAATCAAAACATGTTAATGACAAAGATCTGTTATTAAACTCTGCGACTGAAACCTCAATAATAACAACAACAACAACGGCACAGTCGGATAAAAACGAAAGACTTCAATCGGGCAGAGAAAGCAACAAACTTGAGAAAGAAAGAAAAAACTTTAATACAGCCAACAACAACTGCACACCAGCAGCGGCGTCTACAGCAACAACAACATTTACCACTACCATACACAACTTATGCAATGGTAATATTACACCCATAGTAAACTGTTGTCGTGATATAAACTGTTGCTTAAATGCCACCTCCACCACCACCAGCACAAATGCTTTAGCCACTTGCCAGCCGCTGTTAAGAGATTCTGCCGGCACAATATCAAAAGAATCCAGCCTAAGACGTTCTTTATCCAGTTCTCCTAACTCCTATATAACTAATAACAGTGAAACCCAACCCCCCACCATAAGACCAGAAAAGCAAGTTTCCACTTCTTCTCTGCAGCCGGATAAATTTGTTTTACAAATCCACTTAGATCTATTTGCTTGGACCCTATTTATTTTAGGCTTTCTTACCCGTTTCTACAAACTCTCCTATCCTCGTAATGTGGTCTTTGATGAGCTGCACTATGGCAAATTTATCAGCCACTATATAAAAAATATATTCTTTTTTGATCAACATCCGCCCCTGGGCAAACAAATTATTGGTTCCGTGGCTCAATTTATAGGTTTCAATGGCAACTTTTCCGTCTCCCGTATAGGATCGGAATATGATGCCAATATACCCATATTTTGGTTACGTTTTGTGCCCGCCTTATGCGGCAGTCTATTGCCCAGTACTGTTTATCATCTGCTTTTGGAAACGGGCCTAACGAAATGGTGCTCTTTACTGGGTGGACTTTTGATAGTCTTCGATAATGCCTTACTCACGCAATCGCGTTTTGTTTTAATGGAATCTATGTTATTGTTATTCTGCTCGATTGGTTTGTACTTTTTGTTGAAATTTCAAAAATCACAATTTCCTCAAATAAGTTGGTTGTTGTATGGAGTGGCTGCCTCTTGCCTGCTGACCTGTGCTATGTGTGTGAAATATGTGGGATTTTTAACGTTTTGTTTAGCTGGTTATTTGATTTTGCGCTACTTTTGGAATTTGATATATGATGCCACGAAATCGAGTGAGTATTACCATGACTTGGTTTTTGTCAAATTTAAGATAAAAGGGAGATGGGACAACTCATAAACACTATATGTACTATAAACTAGACTACAGACTAGTTAATGAACAAAGCAGCTCTAACTATAGTCTATTCTAGACAGGTTATACTATACTAAAGACTAAAATACACTATAGACTAGACTAGATTATAGACCAGACTATAGACTAGACTATAGACTAGACTATAGACTAGACTATAGACTAGACTAGACTATAGACTAGACTATAGACTAGACTATAGACTAGACTATAGACTAGACTATAGACTAGACTATAGACTAGACTATAGACTAGACTATAGACTAGACTATAGACTAAACTATAGACTAAACTATAGACTAGACTATAGACTAGACTATAGACTAGACTACAGACTAGACTATAGACTAGACTACAGACTAGACTATAGACTAGACTATAGACTAGACTATAGACTAGACTATAGACTAGACTATAGACTAGACTATAGACTAGACTATAGACTAGACTATAGACTAGACTATAGACTAGACTATAGACTAGACTGACTATGACTAGACTAATACTAGACTATAGACTAGACTATAGACTAGACTAGAGACTAACTATAGACTAGACTATGACTAGACTATAGACTAGACTATAGACTAGACTATAGACTAGACTATAGACTAGACATATAGACTAGACTATAGACTAGACTATCGACTAGACTATAGACTAGACTATAGACTAGACTATAGACTAGACTATAGACTAGACTATAGACTAGACTATAGACTAGACTATAGACTAGACTATAGACTAGACTATAGACTAGACTATAGACTAGACTATAGACCTTAGACTATAGACTAGACTATAGACTAGACTATAGACTAGACTATAGACTAGACTATAGACTAGTACTATAGACTAGACTATAGACTAGACTATAGACTAGACTATAGACTAGACTATAGACTAGACTATAGACTAGACTATAGACTAGACTATAGACTAGACTATAGACTAGACTATAGACTAGACTATAGACTAGACTATAGACTAGACTATAGACTAGACTATAGACTAGACTATAGACTAGACTATAGACTAGACTATAGACTAGACTATAGACTAGACTATAGACTAGACTATAGACTAGACTATAGACTAGACTATAGACTAGACTATAGACTAGACTATAGACTAGACTATAGACTAGACTATAGACTAGACTATAGACTAGACTATAGACTAGACTATAGACTAGACTATAGACTAGACTATAGACTAGACTATAGACTAGACTATAGACTAGACTATAGACTAGACTATAGACTAGACTATAGACTAGACTATAGACTAGACTATAGACTAGACTATAGACTAGACTATAGACTAGACTATAGACTAGACTATAGACTAGACTATAGACTAGACTATAGACTAGACTATAGACTAGACTATAGACTAGACTATAGACTAGACTATAGACTAGACTATAGACTAGACTATAGACTAGACTATAGACTAGACTATAGACTAGACTATAGACTAGACTATAGACTAGACTATAGACTAGACTATAGACTAGACTATAGACTAGACTATAGACTAGACTATAGACTAGACTATAGACTAGACTATAGACTAGACTATAGACTAGACTATAGACTAGAATATAGACCAGACTATAGACTAGACTATAGAACAGACTATAGACTAGATTATAGACTAGACTATAGACTAGAATATAGACTAGACTATAGAGTAGACAATAGACTAGACTAAACAATAGATTAGACTATAGACTAGACTAGACTATAGACTAGACTATAGACTAGATTATAGACTGGACTATAGACTAGACTATAGACTAAACTATAGACAAGACTATAGACTAGACTATAGACTAGACTATAGACTAGACTATAGACTAGACTATAGACTAGACTATAGACTAGACTATAGACTAGAATATAGACCAGACTATAGACTAGACTATAGAACAGACTATAGACTAGATTATAGACTAGACTATAGACTAGACTATAGACTAGAATATAGACTAGACTATAGAGTAGACAATAGACTAGACTAAACAATAGACTAAACTATAGACTAGACTATAGACTAGACTAGACTATAGACTAGACTATAGACTAGATTATAGACTAGACTATAGACTAGACTATAGACTAGACTATAGACTAGACTATAGACTAGACTATAGACTATACTATAGACTAGACTGTAGACTAGACTATAGACTAGACTATAGACTAGACTATAGACTAGACTATAGACTAGACTATAGACTAGATTATAGACTAGACTATAGACTAGACTATGGACTAGACTATAGACTAGACTATAGACTAGACTATAGACTAGACTATAGACTAGACTATAGACTAGACTATAGACTAGACTATAGACTAGACTATAGATTAGACTATAGACTAGACTATAGACTAGACTATAGACTAGACTATAGACTAGACTATAGACTAGACTATAGACTAGACTATAGACTAGACTATAGACTAGAATATAGACTAGACTATAGACTAGACTATAGACTAGACTATAGACTAGACTATAGACTAGACTATAACTAGACTATAGACTAGACTATAGACTAGACTATAGACTAGACTATAGACTAGACTATAGACTAGACTATAGACTAGACTATAGACTAGACTATAGACTAGACTATAGACTAGACTATAGACTAGACTATAGACTAGACTATAGACTAGACTATAGACTAGACTATAGACTAGACTATAGACTAGACTATAGACTAGACTATAGACTAGACTATAGACTAGACTATAGACTAGACTATAGACTAGACTATAGACTAGACTATAGACTAGACTATAGACTAGACTATAGACTAGACTATAGACTAGACTAGACTAGACTATAGACTAGAACTATAGACTAGACTATAGACTAGACTATAGACTAGACTAGACTAGACTAGACTAGACTAGACTGTAGACTAGACTGTAGACTAGACTAGACTAGACTAGACTATAGACTAGACTTAGACTAGACTATAGACTAGACTATAGACTAGACTATAGACTAGACTATAGACTAGACTATAGACTAGACTATAGACTAGACTATAGACTAGACTATAGACTAGACTATAGACTAGACTATAGACTAGACTATAGACTAGACTATAGACTAGACTATAGACTAGACTAGACTAGACTATAGACTAGACTATAGACTAGACTATAGACTAGACTATAGACTAGACTATAGACTAGACTATAGACTAGACTATAGACTAGACTATAGACTAGACTATAGACTAGACTATAGACTAGACTATAGACTAGACTATAGACTAGACTATAGACTAGACTATAGACTAGACTATAGACTAGACTATAGACTAGACTATAGACTAGACTATAGACTAGACTATAGACTAGACTATAGACTAGACTATAGACTAGACTATAGACTAGACTATAGACTAGACTATAGACTAGACTATAGACTAGACTATAGACTAGACTAGACTAGACTATAGACTAGACTATAGACTAGACTATAGACTAGACTATAGACTAGACTATAGACTAGACTATAGACTAGACTATAGACTAGACTATAGACTAGACTATAGACTAGACTATAGACTAGACTATAGACTAGACTATAGACTAGACTATAGACTAGACTATAGACTAGACTATAGACTAGACTATAGACTAGACTATAGACTAGACTATAGACTAGACTATAGACTAGACTATAGACTAGACTATAGACTAGACTATAGACTAGACTATAGACTAGACTATAGACTAGACTATAGACTAGACTATAGACTAGACTATAGACTAGACTATAGACTAGACTATAGACTAGACTATAGACTAGACTATAGACTAGACTATAGACTAGACTATAGACTAGACTATAGACTAGACTATAGACTAGACTATAGACTAGACTATAGACTAGACTATAGACTAGACTATAGACTAGACTATAGACTAGACTATAGACTAGACTATAGACTAGACTATAGACTAGACTATAGACTAGACTAGACTAGACTATAGAAGACTATAGACTAGACTATAGACTAGACTATAGACTAGACTATAGACTAGACTATAGACTAGTCTATAGACTAGACTATAGACTAGACTATAGACTAGACTAGACTAGACTATAGACTAGACTATAGACTAGACTATAGACTAGACTATAGACTAGACTATAGACTAGACTATAGACTAGACTATAGACTAGACTATAGATAGACTAGACTAGAGACTAGACTAGACTACTAGATAACTAGACTATAGACTAGACTATAGACTAGCTAGACTATAGACTAGACTATAGACTAGACTATAGACTAGACTATAGACTAGACTATAGACTAGACTATAACTAGACTATAGACTAGACTATAGACTAGACTATAGACTAGACTATAGACTAGACTATAGACTAGACTATAGACTATACTAGACTATAGACTAGACTATAGACTAGACTATAGACTAGACTATAGACTAGACTATAGACTAAGACTAGACTATAGACTAGACTAGACTAGACTATAGACTAGACTATAGACTAGACTGTAGACTAGACTATAGACTACACTATAGACTAGACTGTAGACTAGACTAGACTATAGACTATAATGTGGATTATAATAACAACACATATGATGTTTGATAACAAAAAATATCCCACGGTAAAAATAGTTTAATGAATGTTTCTCAACTGAAAAACAAAATAATAATGATCATGATCAATGCAGGTGAAGCTCTGGATCTTTGGAAATAAGAAAATACGTTTGTGTTTATTTGATTGCAAGTGACATATTGAAATGATCAGTTGTTTTGAAAACAGCTTAGCTAAAAAAAAACTAGCAAATTGCTTGCCAATAATTGGGAAATCTTACAAAAACTATTCATCTTTATTTATGTATACAAAGAAGCATTTGTTCGATCAAACATTTGGTTGAACTATTCGATTAGTATGTGGGTTTATTAAAATCATACTTCTTCTTGTAGTTAAAAATCTCAATTCTTTTTACTTTTGAATCCATATAGCGAAGGGGATATGGCAATGTCTATCCGCATGTATGTTTAAATCAATTTTTTGAAGACTCCAGATGTCTTCGTGACTCAAAACTTGGTCAATCCTATTAGATATGCTTTTGAGAATTTTTCTGTTTAAACAAGTAAAATCGATTCAAAGTAATGGGATCATGAGGGAAATTCCGAAAAAAACCGTTATTATATCGGAGATAATTTGTGCGGAAGGTGGGCAATATGTATATCAAAATAAAGGTATTTCAGAGACCTGTCATTTTATATACGGATTTTTGGAGAACAAAGTTTTCATTTGTTTTCATTCATCTTTACACTTTTAACTCATAGTGAAACTCCAATTTTTTTTGGATAATTTTGTAAAAACAACAGGGAATTCATTTAGTGCAAATTTTGACTTAATCCCCTTCTTTCTAATAATCATTATCTTTTCCAGCATTCCATCTAATCCTGCAATCTGCCGTACAATTTTGTATCTTTACCATCATACCGATTTGCATCTATCTGGGCATCTTCTATATACACCTAAACACCCTCTATCGTGCTGGACCACATGATAGTGTTATGACTAGTGCCTTTCAGGCTTCGCTAGAAGGTGGTTTAGCTTCAATAACTAAAGGTCAACCCATACAAGTGGCTCATGGTTCACAAATTACCCTGCGTCATACATATGGTCGTACCTGTTGGTTACATTCACATGCTCACGTTTATCCCGTACGTTATCCGGATAAACGAGGTTCTTCGCATCAACAACAGGTGACATGTTATTCCTTTAAAGATGTCAACAATTGGTGGATTGTAAAGAGGCCAGAGCGTGATGATTTGGTAGTAGGTGATGAACCGGATGCTATACGTCATGGTGATGTAATACAACTGGTGCATGGCATAACAAGTCGAGCATTAAATTCTCATGATGTAGCGGCGCCCATGACACCACAGTGTCAAGAAGTTTCCTGTTATATAGACTATGAAATCAATATGGAAGGAGAGATTTTATGGAGAGTGGATATACTCAATAAAGATACGGTAAGTGCGTGGTGGTTCTTTTCGAAATCAAGGTTTAATTGGTGTTTCCTTTTGTCTGTAAATTTAGGAGGGACCTATTTGGCATGCTATTAAATCAGAAGTACGTTTAATACATGTTTCAACGGGTGCAGCTATGAGATATACTGGACGCCAGCTGCCTGATTGGGGTTTTAATCAACATGAAGTGGCTGCCGATCGTGTTATAGATAATAAAGATGCCATTTGGAATGTTGAAGAGCATCGCTATACGAAAGGTAAGTTGAAGAAATAAAGAGTTTCGAGTTTAAATCTCAAATGTTTACCTATATTTAGCCCATGACGAAAAAGAACGAGAAAAACAACTATTAGCCGCTGAGATGTTACCCACTAAACCGACAACTCTCACCTTTTTCGATAAGTTCTTTGAGCTACAATCGAAAATGCTTTGGCATGGTCCCCAAATACAAGCTCATATGTATAGTTCAGAGCCACTAGAATGGCCGCTACTCTCTAAGGGTATAGCCTATTGGTTGGATACCAAATCAAATGGACAAATACATTTGCTGGGCAACATACTCATTTGGTATACCAGCACTTTAGGTGTTTTAGTCTATATGATTTTGTTTGTATTTTATCTTTTGCGTCGTCGTCGTTTATGTTACGACATCGAGGAGTCAGAATGGCAAAAATTCTTATCTGTGGGTCATATATTCTTCGCTGGCTATCTAATACATTATCTACCCTATTTCTTTATGGAACGTACCCTCTTTCTACATCATTATTTTCCGGCATTTTTATTTAAACTACAATTGCTTTGTTATGTTATCGAACATATCGACTATTTGTTGAGACGTTATTGTGGTTCGGCCCTATGGATGGTGCGTTCATATCGTTTGGCAGTTATTAGCTGGTTTGTGGCTGTCATCTCGGTTTATATACGTTTCTTGCCGCTGAGCTATGGTTTAGAGAAGTTAACGGCCGAAGAAGTTATTAAGTTGCGGTGGAAAGATACTTGGGATTTTGTCATACAACGGGACATAGCAGTGCATTGATTGTTTGATTTAAGTTAAAGTAAATTATGTATAGATTGGACTAGAAAGAAATATATTCCATGTACTATAGTTGTATTTAATATTTGTTAAATTACATTTAAGTTTATGCAAACATTTATACACAAATACATATACATATAATAACATAATTAAGAAAATAAATAAATGAAAATTATTTATAATATTTTTTGAATTGCAATTTTAATTGAAACTTTATATTTTCCAAAGATCTTAATTTTTCGTTAAGGTTAACAAAATTCTATATTTTAAAAAAATTCAAAAGCTCTCATAATTCAACAATAACTCAACTAGAACTTAACTAGAACTGAACTAGAACTGAACTAGAACTGAACTAGAACTGAACTAGAACTGAACTAGAACTGAACTGAACTAGAACTGAACTAGAACTGAATACTAGAACTAGAACTAACTTGAACTGAACTAGAACTGAAACTAGAACTGAACTAGAACTGAACTAGAACTGAACTAGAACTGAACTAGAACTGAACTAGAACTGAACTAGAACTGAACTAGAACTGAACTAGAACTGAACTAGAACTGAACTAGAAACTGAACTAGAACCTGAACTAGAACTGAACTAGAACTGAACTAGAACTGAACTAGAACTGAACTAGAACTGAACTAGAACTGAACTAGAACTGAACTAGAAACTGACTAGAACTGAACTAGAACTGAACTAGAACTGAAAGCTAGAACTGAACTAGAACTGAACTAGAACTGAACTAGAACTGAACTAGAACTGAACTAAACGGAACTAGAACTGACCTAGAACTGAACTAGAACTGAACTAGAACTGAACTAGAACTGAACTAGAACTGAACTAGAAACTGAACTAGAACTGAACTAGAACTGAACTAGAACTGAACTAGAACTGAACTAGAACTGAACTAGAACTGACTAGAACTGAACTAGAACTGAACTAGAACTGACTCTAAAAACTGAACATAACTGAACTAGAACTGAACTAGAACTGAACTAGAACTGAACTAGAACTGAACTAGAACTGAACTAGAACTGAACTAGAACTGAACTAGAACTGAACTAGAACTGAACTAGAACTGAACTAGAACTGACTAGAACTGAACTAGAACTGAACTAGAACTGAACTAGAACTGAACTAGAGAACTGAACTAGAACTGAACTAGAACTGAACTAGAACTGAACTAGAACTGAACTAGAAACTGAACTAGAACTGAACTAGAACTGAACTAGAACTGAACTAGAACTGAACTAGAACTGAACTAGAACTGAACTAGAACTGAACTAGAACTGAACTAGAACTGAACTAGAACTGAACTAGAACTGAACTAGAACTGAACTAGAACTGAACTAGACTGAACTAGAACTGAACTAGAACTGAACTAGAACTGAACTAGAACTGAAACTAGAACTGAACTAGAACTGAACTAGAACTAGAACTAGAACTGAACTAGAACTGAACTAGAACTGAACTAGAACTGACTGAACTGAACTAGAACTGAACTAGAACTAGAACTGAACTAGAACTGAACTAGAACTGAACTAGAACTGAACTAGAACTGAACTAGAACTGAACTAGAACTGAACTAGAACTGAACTAGAACTGAACTAGAACTGAACTAGAACTGAACTAGAACTGAACTAGAACTGAACTAGAACTGAACTAGAACTGAACTAGAACTGAACTAGAACTGAACTAGAACTGAACTAGAACTGAACTAGAACTGAACTAGAACTGAACTAGAACTGAACTAGAACTGAACTAGAACTGAACTAGAACTGAACTAGAACTGAACTAGAACTGAACTAGAACTGAACTAGAACTGAACTAGAACTGAACTAGAACTGAACTAGAACTGAACTAGAACTGAACTAGAACTGAACTAGAACTGACTAGAACTGAACTAGAACTGAACTAGAACTGAACTAGAACTGAACTAGAACTGAACTAGAACTGAACTAGAACTGAACTAGAACTGAACTAGAACCGAACTAGAACTGAACTACATAGAACTGAACTAGAACTGAACTAGAACTGAAACCTAGAACTGAACTAGAACTGAACTAGAACTGAACTAGAACTGAACTAGAACTGAACTAGAACTGAACTAGAACTGAAACTAGAACTGAACTAGAACTGAACTAGAACTGAACTAGAAACTGAACTAAGAACTGAACTAGAACTGAACTAGAAACTGAACTAGAACGAAACTAGAACTAGAACTGAACGAAACTGAAACTAGAATTAACTAGAACTAGAACTAGACTAGAACTGAACTAGAACTGAACTAAGAACTGAACTATGAACCGAACTAGAACTGAACTAGAAACTGAACTAGAACTGAACTAGAACTGAACTAGAGCTGAACTAGAACTGAACTAGATCTAAACTAGGTAAAAGCGAATAATTTCTACTTCAGAACGGGGAATGTTTTGGAATTTATGTACTTACCAAGGAATTTATATGTTTATACTGTTAACATTTAATTGTCTTTGATACATTTAAAGAAACGGCAGTTAAATAATTTTTTTTTGCATTAACTTTTTACGTTTTAATAAAAACATCTTATTATATTGTTTTGTTTGTTTTTCTTTTTAAAAATAAAAAGCAAAACCACGCTGAACATAACTTAAGCCAATATCGGAACCAGGAGGAAAATCGTTACGCAATTGTAAATACTTTTGAGAAGTCCAAAAGGCAAAATTCTAAAAAAGAACAAAATAATACAAATCAATTAAAAGAACAGGAATTAATGAAAATTATATGAGAGCTAAATATTTTAATATATTTTAACAAAATTACTTTCTCGATTTCATCCTCCAAACCGGACATACGATAGTAAACACACAGCGCGTTAGAACGTTTTTCCTTTTGTAAATATTTCGCCAGAGAATCTAATAGTGAAGCATCCAAATTCAGGCAATAACTAATATCCAAGTGCTTTAGTTTAGGACATAAATGTAATATCTCTAAAATCATTAAAGCCTCCAGATTTTGAGCATGACGTAGACATAAAATTTCCAAACGATTAAAGGGGCAACACAAACATTCTTCGTGCGATTTAAAATCATAATTACACAAAGCCAACAGTTTGAGATTCGAAGGATTTAAATAATGAAAGTCCGTTAGCCAGGTATCGCTAACGGGTAAGAAATGAAAGTCAATAGCTAGACCCTGTAAGAGAGCACCCTTTTCGCGTAATATATGATAATATTCTTTCGTCTCGTAGATTTTATAATCGAAAGTATCAATGTTCTGTAGGCGCGAAATATCAATATCCTGATCCAGCAGTACTTGAAGATGTTTAAGACGAGGCAGTTTTAATACTTGCTCCAAAACGGGCTTAAGAGAATTCAAATTTAATTTCAGTTCCTGCAAATTCAAACATTCAGATATTTCGGGCATTAGCTGTAGATGTGAGACTTCAAATGTGCGCATATCTAACACTTTCAGATATTTTAGATTTAATAAAATATCTTTAAGATATTTTTCCTTCATTTCATACACCTTTGTCTGCTCATCATACAAATGTAGTTCCTCTAAATATTTCAAATTTGTCAAATAGTGTCCGGTAATGGGCACGGTTATATGAAGATATTTCAAATTAGGCACTAGTTTAGTTAATAACTCCATATCCTCATCCTGGGGATAACAATCCATTATATCATCTTGAAATTCGCAACGTTCGATGGCAGTAAAACAATCAATGCCACACTCTTCCATTTCCTTGAGAAAAACATTTAGACATTCATCTATAATCCTTAAAGTGTGGAATTCACATTTCATGGCTTTAAGGAAATATTCGAAATCCTCATAGTTTGGTAACACAGTTGGCAGTTCGTTAAAGGCTAAAATTTTATATTCCGGTTGACGCTTCCACAGACCCACTATTATGTTGCGAAAACGTCTGCAACTTTTGGCAATTTGTATTTGGTTGGGTAAATCGTGTATTCTCTCAAATATACACTCTAAACAATCATCATTTAGGTCTGTTATATTAGCCGAACTATTAGTAATTGTATCATCTGCAAAGGAGCAACCACCATAAATAAATTTTCATTAAATTTCCGAAACTTTTAATACTTTACCTTTATTTTGTTGCTCTTCCGTCATTGCCTCGGTATTTTGATGATAAATGAAAAAAATATATAAATTATTTATTTACAAAACAAATTTACTCCAAGGCGTATTTTGTTTTTGCCAAAATCTGTATGCCCATCCAGCTGTTCTTTGTTTAGAAGGGCTGCATAAAAAGAAATGTCAATAAAGTGTATAAAAACAAACAAAAAGCGGGAAAGGTTTGTTTTTAGTTAAAATTACATGAAATTAAATAGAACGTTTTCTAATGAACATATATTATTTAAATTTAATAACAAATAAAAAATTTCACAATTTTAAATACAAAAATTAATAAAATTTTCTTCATTCTTTCTTAGTTTTACGTTATGATAAGACAGTTGTCGATAATAGTGTTCCTTATAAGTTTTCAAGAGATTGTTTACATTTCTCTTAAATGGTTTGTAATATAAAAAAATTAAAAAGAGATGTAGAATTTAAAAACAAAAAACCATAAGTCAGTTCTAGTTCAAAATTCAGTTCTAGTTGAATTCCAGCTCAGTTCTAGTTCAATTCTAGTTTAGTTTAGGGTTCTATAAATCGACTTTCAAATAATCGAACAATCGACTTTTTGTCGAAAAAAGTCGAAGTCGACTATTTTGTTCCAAAAAAGTCGATAACTCGACTATCTTCTATGAAAAAAGTCGAAAAGTCGACTTTGTAAATAAAAGTCGAAAAAAGTCGAAAGTCGGAAAGTCGAAAAAAGTCGAAAAGTCGAAAAACGTCGAAAAGTCGGAAAAAGTCGAAAAGTCGACCATTTATATAATACTAAAAGTAGAAAAGTCTAAAAGCCGACTTTTAAATAAATGAAAAAGGTCGAAAAGTCGAAAAATCGACTTTTCATAAAATGGAAAAAGTCGAACCCTAGGGTTCTATAGTTAAAACGAAAAGTCGACTTTTCGACTTTTTGCATTTAGTTAAAAGTCGACTTTTCGACCTTTCGACTTTTTCCATTTTATGAAAAGTCGATTTTTCGACCTTTTTCATTTATTTAAAAGTCGACTTTTAGACTTTTCGACTTTTAGTATTTTATAAATGGTCGACTTTTTCGACTTTTCGACTTTTTTCGACTTTTCGACTTTTCGACTTTTTCCGACTTTTCGACTTTTTGATTTTTTACGACTTTTTGACTATTTTCGATTTATTTCGACTTTTTTTCGACTATTTTTTTTTACTTTTTTCGAGTTTTTCCGACTATTTTAGAGTTTTTGACCTCTTTTCCACTTTTTTAAAATTTTCGACTCTTTTCGACTTTTTTCGACTTTTCGACTTTTTTCGACTTTTCGACTTTTTCGACTTTTTTCGACTTATCTACTTTTTTCGACTTTTCAACTTTTTTCGACTTTCCGATTTTTTTACTTTTCGACTTTTATTTACAAAGTTGACTTTTCGACTTTTTTCATAGACGATAGTCGAGTTATCAACTTTTTTGGAACAAAATAGTCGACTTCGACTTTTTTCGACAAAAAGTCGATTGTTCGATTATTCGAAAGTCGATTTATAGAACCCTAGTTTAGTTCAAGTTCAGTTATAGTAGTGAAATACGTTATTTTATCGGCATTGGTGTAAATTTGGATAAAACTCCAAATCTGTGGCAATACTGTTCACTTTAGATAATGTTACTTCCGAAAATACAACTCTGCAGCCCGTTATATTTAAATAAATTCATGATTTCCTCAACATTTAATTGTGACATCATACCGTACATTTTCATGGTCATTTATAAACAAAAAATATAAAAATTTTAAACAAATCGACGACGACAACAACAAACCAACTAGCCATTTGGACGACTAAAACATAGATGAAGAACAAGCGATCATTTTTAAAATTGAACAATAAGAATGTAGAAAAAAATAATTTAGTAATAAATTGAAAACTGAAGTGTTAAGGTGTTGTGTCCCACTAGGCAAATGTAATATAAAATAATAAAAAATTATAACAGAAATTGGAAAAAAAGAAATTTGCATAAATATATTTATTAAAGAATTAATTTATTAATTTAAGTGAATAACTGAAAAAAAAATATGTTAATATTTAATAAAAATTATAATTAAAATAGTGATTATCTAATTAAACAAAAAAAAAAAAAAACAAATTTAAAAATATATGTTTGCTTTGTGTAAAAGTGTCTGAAAAGATTTATTTCTTTTTTTTTAATTTAAAAAGCAGATGTTTTGACTTTTTTCTTTAGCTTTCTTTTTTCATTTTAAAAATAAATATTTTTCACTTTCTTTTTAGATTTTTAAGAACCAACAAAAAAATCAAACAAAAACACGCGTTTTATCTATAAAATACTATTAATTAATTAAAATTCAATAACAAAACAATATTCTACGTTCTCTTTGATAAAAAAAAATTTACTCAACCTTCTTTTAAGAGTTTAATAGAGGAAGGTTCTCTTTGTTGTGAAAAAAGAAGAAAAAAAATTATAGTGAAAAAAGCTCTTATTTGTTTTGACAGCAAAATTGTTGTTGTTTAAACAGGTGTGAGAGAGTGTGTGTGTGTGTGTGAGTGCGAATTTTGTAGATTTTTTCCTCAGTTTTTATAAAACTCTTCAAACTGGCAGTCGACGGGTCTGGCATCTACGATATGCTGAAATTTTTGGTAAGTTTCTTTTTTTTTCTTATTTAATAAATTTATTATAATAAAAAAATTATGCTGAAATAATAACAATATAAAGTGCAATTAGTTTTCTATGATAACGTAATGGAAATTTTGCAAGTGTCAGTTGTCTGCTGTTTTTTCTTCCTTTCTCACTTTCATTTATTTTGATTTTTATCATTTGACATTTTATTTTTAGTTTTATGATTTCATTAGTTTTTTTTTTTTATTTAATATTCCACATCTGTCCTAAGGTTTTTAGTTGTTGTTTTTTCTTTGTCTTCTTTTAAATTAATCCAACAAACAGTGAAATTTTGTTTGTTATGTGGACAAAAAACTGGTTTAATTATATAATTCTTTAGTTTTTTTGTTAATAAATTTTTGAGATTTTAGTTTTTATCATAAAAATCCATTGTTTATTTACATGGATTTCTTATATTTGGCGATTTTGTTGCAGGGATTAATAAGGTTCAAAGGGCACATCATCTGCAATTATGCAAAAGTGTTGCCAGCTTATTACGAATTGAATATTATGGAGATTATCTATGTTATAGAATTTTACTAACCAATTTATAATTTTTTTCTATTGACTTTATTTCCACATAGCCCTTGTGTCTTTGCCTTGGATAGTTTATGGAATAGTCTATTAACTAGGCTGTAGTCTGCTCTATCAACTATGCTGTATAGACTAGTCTTTGAACTATACTATATATTAGTCCATGAACTATATTTCAAACAAGTCTATGAGTTAGACTGTAAACTAGTCCTTAAACTAGACTTTTGACTAGTCTATGAAGCATACTATATAATACTATATGAAACGGACTATAGTCTGTGAACTAGTCTTTAGACTAGTCTATGAAGTAGACTATTGACTAGACTAAGAAATAGATTATAAACTAGTCTGTGAACTAGTCTATGAGCTCGTCTTTAGAATAGTTTATGAACAAGTCTATATACTAGTCATTAGAATAGTCTATGAACAAAAATATATACTTGTTTAATAACTTGTATTTAACTTAGTCTGTTAACTAGTGTATGAGTTTTTAGAATAGTGTGTGTACTAGAATATAGACTACTTTAAGAACTAGTCTTTAGCTTATATAATGAACTATTCTTTAGACTAGTCGATGAACTAGCCTTTAGAATTGTGTATAGATTAGCCTATTGGCTGTAATATTTTAGTCGTATGTTCTAGTTCAGTTCTAGTACATTTCTAGTGCAATTCTAGTTCAGATCAAATTCAGTTCTTGTTCAGTACTAGTTCAGTTCTAGTTCAGTTCTAGCGCATTTCTAGTTCAGATCAAGTTCAGTTCAAGTTCAGTACTAGTTCAATTCTAGTTCAGTACTAGTTCAATTCTAGTTCAGTTCTAGTTCAGTTCTAGTTCAGTTCTAGTTGAGTTCTAGTTCAGTTCTAGTTTAGTTCTAGTTCAGTTCTAGTTTAGTTCTAGTTCAGTTCTAGTTCAGTTCTAGTTCAGTTCTAGTTCAGTTCTAGTTCAGTTCTAGTTCAGTTCTAGTTCAGTTCTAGTTCAGTTCTAGTTCAGTTCTAGTTCAGTTCTAGTTCAGTTCTAGTTCAGTTCTAGTTCAGTTCTAGTTCAGTTCTAGTTCAGTTCTAGTTCAGTTCTAGTTCAGTTCTAGTTCAGTTCTAGTTTAGTTCTAGTTTAGTTCTAGTTCAGTTCTAGTTCAGTTCTAGTTCAGTTCTAGTTCAGTTCTAGTTCAGTTCTAGTTCTAGTTCAGTTCTTGTTCAGTTCTAGTTCGGCTCTAGTTCGGCTCTAGTTCAGTTCTAGTTCAGTTCTAGTTCAGTTCTAGTTCAGTTCTAGTTCAGTTCTAGTTCAGTTCTAGTTCAGTTCTAGTTCAGTTCTAGTTCAGTTCTAGTTTAGTTCTAGTTTAGTTCTAGTTTAGTTCTAGTTCAGTTCTAGTTCAGTTCTAGTTCAGTTCTAGTTCAGTTCTAGTTCAGTTCTAGTTCAGTTCTAGTTCAGTTCTAGTTCAGTTCTAGTTCAGTTCTAGTTCAGTTCTAGTTCAGTTCAGGTTCAGTTCTAGTTCAGTTCTAGTTCAGTTCTAGTTCAGTTCTAGTTCAGTTCTAGTTCAGTTCTAGTTCAGTTCTAGTTCAGTTCTAGTTCAGTTCTAGTTCAGTTCTAGTTCAGTTCTAGTTCAGTTCTAGTTCTAGTTCAGTTCTAGTTCAGCTCTAGTTCATATCTAGTTCAGTACTAGTTCAATTCTAGTTTAGTTGTAGTTCAGATCTTTCTAACTCATATCTAGGTCCTTTCTAGTTTAATTCTTGTTCAGTTCTAGATCATCAAAATTCTTTAAAAATTTTTAACTATTTTTCTTTAAAAAAAATGTCCAATAATTTCTTCATATTATTTACAGATAACGTTTAGTGCTGGTATTTACACCGGTATCTACATCAGCCAAAACTATGAGGTAATTTATCTATAAAAGCTATAAAATATTGATTTATTTTAATATGTACTACATATATTTTTCTTAAACATTCTAGGTTCCTCGTGTGGATGAACCCAGTAAAATAATTGATAAAATTAAGGAATTGGCTGATGAGCATCGTAAAAAGTAATAATCCATTTTCTCTATATATATGTTAATTGTAAAACTATAAAGAAAAACAAAACAAAACAATTCCTCATTGTTTAAATCTCTAAAAAAAAAAGAAATTGTCGTTTTATTTTGTTTATTCTTTTAACTATATAAACTTAAGAAATGTATGCTTTAAGAACTTATTAAAAAAATACTAAAATTTTAACAAATAATGGTTGTACTATTTACATATTTATAAAGACCTTATTCAGAAAGACGCTGTTTTCTTGTGAATAAGGTCGCTTAAATAACCTCGTGTTTCAGTAGATCCAAAATTATTTTAAAACTTTATTATTGAAATATATAATTTCCTATTTTTTTCTCCTTAAGTTTGACTGATTTTGTTAAAGAAATTTCAAATAATCGCAAAGAAAAGTAAAACTGCCTACACGCAAGTTCGAAATTTTCTAATGCCAGCAAGACCCTTTGAAATTCAGAGAAAAGCAAAATTTTAGTTGAAGAGTTTAACAACGAAATCTGTAGTATGGGAAAAATTTTTTATTATTAATAGATAAAAAAAAAAATACTTTAAAATTAAAATGTATTAATAAATTTTTAGTGTACTTTGGTATCATTTAAATAACATGATGATTTTTATTCAAAATATAATACAAATCTTTTAGGTTTTTGTCTACTATTTTACTAGGTTTTAAAATATTCCAAAAGTTTTTTGTGCAAAGTGTCTACATTATTAAAACTGATTAAAACTATGAATTCATAACTGAACAGCTCCTAACTGAACAGAACAGATGTTAGAGTTATCCCTTACCGATGTATTATAAAGAGATAACTTCTAAGTGATCATTGAATAGTCGATTACAAACTATTCATAGAGTGATTGGTGATGGAATGATGAGTTTAAAGGTGATTACACAACGATCAGTTGGGTATCGATGTAATCATGGCGTAATCGGTTACAAACTGAAAATCGAAGTGGCCGGTTGCAAACTGATCATGCAGTGAGGAGATCTTTGTAATCATAGAGTTAAAAGATTTCAACTGATTATAGATTGGTGAAGTTTAATCTGAAAATCGATTGATCATAGAGCGGTCAGTTGCATAGATAGATAGATAGATTGATAGATAGATAGATAGATAGATAGATAGATAGATAGATAGATAGATCGATAGATGATCGATAGATCGCTCGCTCGCTCGCTCCTCGCTCGCTCGCTCGCTCGATAGCTCGCTCGCTCGCTCGCTCGCTCGCTCGCTCGCTCGCTCGCTCGCTCGCCTGCTCGCTCGCTCGCTCGCTCGCTCGCTCGCTCGCTCGCTCGCTCGCTCGCTCGCTCTCTCGCTCGCTCGCTCGCTCGCTCGCTCGCTCGCTCGCTCGCTCGCTCTCTCGCTCGCTCGCTCGCTCGCTCGCTCGCTCGCTCGCTCGCTCGCTCGCTCGCTCGCTCGCTCGCTCGCTCGCTCGCTCGCTCGCTCGCTCGCTCGCTCGCTCGCTCGCTCTCGCTGCTCGCTCGCTCGCTCGCGCTCGCTCGCTCGCTCGCTCGCTCGCTCGCTCGCTCGCTCGCTCGCTCGCTCGCTCGCTCGCTTCGCTCGCTCGCTCGCTCGCTCGCTCGCTCGCTCGCTCGCTCGCTCGCTCGCTCGCTCGCTCGCTCGCTCGCTCGCTCGCTCGCTCGCTCGCTCGCTCGCTCGCTCGCTCGCTCGCTCGCTCGCTCGCTCGCTCGCTCGCTCTCGCTCGCTCTCTCGCTCGCTCCTGCTCGCTCGCTCGCTCTCTCGCTCGCTCGCTCGCTCGCTCGCTCGCTCGCTCGCTCGCTCGCTCGCTGCTCGCTCGCTCGCTCGCTCGCTCGCTCGCTCGCTCGCTCGCTCGCTCGCTCGCTCTCGCTCGCTCGCTCGCTCTCGCTCGCTCGCTCGCTCGCTCGCTCGCTCGCTCGCTCGCTCGCTCGCTCGCTCGCTCGCTCGCTCGCTCGCTCGCTCTCGCTCGCTCGCTCGCTCGCTCGCTCGCTCGCTCGCTCGCTCGCTCGCTCGCTCGCTCGCTCGCTCGCTCGCTCGCTCGCTCGCTCGCTCGCTCGCTCGCTCTCTCGCTCGCTCGCTCTCTCGCTCGCTCGCTCGCTCGCTCGCTCGCTCGCTCGCTCGCTCGCTCCTCGCTCCTCGCTCGCTCGCTCGCTCGCTCGCTCGCTCGCTCGCTCGCTCGCTCGCTCGCTCTCGCTCGCTCGCTCGCTCGCTCGCTCGCTCGCTCGCTCGCTCGCTCGCTAGATAGATGCTCGCTCGCTCGCTCGCTAGATAGATAGAAATGGATAACGATCGTAGCGTCCAGATTTCCCCTGATCATAGAGTAACAATACGGTTGCAACTAAGGATTTTCATTGTATTTTGTAAATTGAAATCAACTTGAAATTGTTTTTTTTTTTTTTTAAATTAATACCAAGTAAATTAAGAAAAAAGCTGTTAAACTTTGGAATCCTGTTTTCTTGCTAAATTTTTGAACTTACCTCCAATTTCAGACTTTTTTCATTAAATTAAACCTTAAAGCAAAATTTCTTGAAGTTTTTTCTTTGATTTTAGAAGATTTTAATAAAACCACTTTTTTTAATATAAATTACAATTAATCTTTCTTTTTTAAGAAATCCTGCCGAGCAGCTTTTGCATGACGTTAAAAAGGGAGCCAAGAAGATTATAGATTAAATTTGCTACAATACAACATAAAAGGAGGCTTTAGTTTAATTTTATGATTTTTTTTATTAAACTTTATAAATTTATGTTCTTAAATGATTTTTCTTTTCTAAATCGAATGGCAATATTCAAATGTTTATTTTTATAAAATTAATTAAATAATTTTTTTGTATAGTATTTTTGGTGGAGTTTTATTTAAAAAAAAAAACATCATTTTGAAATGCTAAAGCAAAATTACAGACCAACATAAAGCTTTTAATTTTTTACAGAAATTTTACATAAATTTAAGTTGATTTTGCCCCTTAACTCTTGAAAATAAACAGCAAATTTTGAATTTTTTTATATTTTATTAAACAATACATAGGGCCTTTGATCTTTTACAAATTTAAATGCTAAATAATTACTTTATAAAATTCAAATAAATGACACACCACCACCATAATATTCTAAACGCGTTTGTGGCTCCACAAATGCCAGCCAATCGGAGGCATGTGTGGGTAACAGACCCATACTATTGCACTTATAAAGAGCCACAGCCACATTAGCTAAATTGCCTAAGAAATATACTAGCCTCTGGCCGGTACCCTGAGCACCTTCGGCCATTTTGGAGGTGACTTGTGTGGAGAACATGGCCTTAATGGGACGTATCAACATCATGCCAATCATCATTATGGGAAATATGGATATGGTATTGCCGGACATGTACATAATAAATAAGTTCATGGGTATCTTTAATTAGGTAAAAAGAAAAATATTAAAATGTTTTCTAAATTTATCGGAAATAAACAAAAACTAACCTGTTTAAGGGGACCCAAAGCCAAGTCCCATGATTTCTTTATAACCAATCTTTGATCTCTGACAATTTCTGTTTGATTGACCAAAGCGTTAGCATTATAACCGGGAGGTGCGGGTAAATCATTTGATTTGCTAGTTTAATTAAAAAAATTTACAAAAATATAGAAATATTGTTTTTAGTTTTAGCTTGTAGTTGGTGTTGTAAAAAATCTTAACTTACTTGGTATTAAAGTCCATAGACCATTTACTTTTCTTATTGGCTTGTTTAGCTGACATTTTTGGTGTTTTTTCAGTAATATTTTTTAATAATTTATTAATTAAAACTATTTTATTTTTTTCTTTTGGTAAAAATACACGACTTCTAGTGAAAAAACATACATAGAATAACTCACCACGATAATGTCATGACAGATGACAAGTGTAAATAAAAGTGTCAATGGAGAGTATGTTCAGTGTTTGAGAAAACAATACAGCGATTGATTTTTATTTAAGAGGGTTTTCAGTGTTTTATAATAAAAATTACCGTTGTTGTTCAAATTCAGCAACTGTATAATTGAAAATATTGAATTAAAAAACTTTGGTATTTTTTAAAATATAAATTTTTCTTCAGCACTTAAAAGCAGATTTGTATTTTTTAAATTTTAAAAATTTCTCTCAAGCACGATTCTGATTTAATAATTAGAGAGTTTTTTGGAACTTTTAATTTTTCAAAAAGGATTAGAAAAATGATTAAGAGGGATGTTTTTGGTATCTTTCCGTTCTTCAAGGTCCTTATTTGAATTGTCTATTATATTGAACCTAGAAACAAAAAATGTTAAATTTGTTTTGATTGAAATATACGTTTTGATACTTTTCTGTTCTTGAAATAGTACTTTTTGGAATTTTCTATAATATTAAACTTTTCGTTATTGGAAGCTTTTAATAATATAAAGATTGGGACCTGCATATAAAGCTATGAGTTCAGGACTTCTTGGTGAATTGGATAGTCTGCATGCTTTGCTGCGGAATTATTAACTCGAACCTAGTAGAGCATTGCACTATAAGAAGAGTTACCACGGTTATACCACAGGGCTGTTTTATCTCCTCTTTTGGGGCTACAGTTATCGGAAGTTGTTGGAACTTCTAACTAGGGACGACTGGCTTGTATCCGATAGACTGTTTACCGGCACAAAACGGTTCTTCAGACTCCCTGACGAATGTAGTAGTATCTTCCAAGTAGAGATCCTAAAGATCTGAAAATGGAATCATATCCATACAGGTCGAATGTGAAAATTTATGTTGATAGTTAAGTTGTTCTCAGAGCATTGGCTTGTCGCACGGCACATCCGCGTAATGAGGTTGTGGACGAACTAGCTAGAGTAGGTTCGAACCTTGATATTCGAGAGAATCCGTGACATTATTAATCAGTCCTGAAAAAGTGGAATGAATTGCAAAATACCAAAGGCATTATGGCCATCACTTGATGTGCTGCCTACCAACATACTTATATAACTAGATAAATGCAGTCTAAGGGCTTCTGATAGGGTTGCTAATGGGGCATTGTTCAATTAGAGCCTTTGTCAGTAAGTGAGAGGAGTATTTTACTACAGAATCTCAGGATGAAATGCTGAGGAATAGTTTTCACGACGAACTAGGTCTACACCATAATCTTGTCTAGCCTTGTCTGTAGCCATGTTTTGAGGCTACACTATAGAGCCTTTAGTCTAGTCTATAGTGTGGTCCATAATCGAGCATACATATAATTTGCCAATACTGTAGAATACAGAATCTCAGGATGAAATGCTGAGGAATAGTTTTCACGACGAACTAGGTCTACACCATAATCTTGTCTAGCCTTGTCTGTAGCCATGTTTTGAGGCTACACTATAGAGCCTTTAGTCTAATCTATAGTGTGGTCCATAATCTAGTCTACAGTCTTGTCTATAGATTAGTTTGTAGTCATTTTTTCGACTGGGTTTTATAGGGAGACTAGGGTAATCTCACATTTCATTATTTAGGGAATCACCTTAAGAATAGACCTTTTTCCATTCATGGCCCCTCTATCTTTGGATGTTCACTCTCTATGAAGAGAATCACAATGGCCGCTATCAAGGCGAATAGACTATAAGGTGAAGTCATTTCATTTTGCGGCGAATTCATGAAATTTTTTATATATGTAGTTTGACAGCGTCGGGTTTGAGAGAGAATTTTTTTTTATATTGAGTTTGACAACTTCGGGCTAAATTTCCATGGACAAAAAAACAATCAGCTGTTGAAATGACTTCACCTTATTAGTTTCACCATGGCCGCTATAGTCTGCGAGTGGAGGTGCATAATTCTTCTTTACCTAACTTTAGGGTCCTGATTGAATGGGAATTTTTAAGAGAAAAGTTTTTGGTAGATTTTCTTTGTTTAAATTGTACTTTTTGATATTTTTATGATTTAGAATCTAGATTACTATTGTAATTAGATTACAAAACCCTTGATTTTCTAAATTTTGCAAACTAAACAACGACAAAAAACAAAATTTCGAAGTAATTACTTTTTTATTACACAGTTTTTTTTATTTAAATTTAATTTTTCTTTTTTTATTTTTAATTATATTTAAATATAAAGTATGTGTTGTAGTAGTTGGTTGGTTGTAGAATGTTGTTTGATGTTATTTTTATATTATTACTTGTTGTTGTTTGTTTTTCTTTCATTTTTGTTGTTGTTAATGATAGCAAATAAAAATTATTGTTTGTTATAGTTTGCTGGCGAATTGTTAAGTGAAAAAAAGAAATAATAATAATTAACCTATAGTTAAATATTTATTGGACATGGACACAATATAAACCATATAAAATGTGAAACAGTGAAAAAAAAAAAAAAAAACAAAATATTAGAAAGAAGCACAAACATTAGTGTAATGAAGTTTTAAAGCAAAATAAAGAAAAATAAAAGACAAAAACATAATTAAATATTTTTTTAAAGAAAAAAAAAATATTACATTATTTAAAAATATAGGTATGTATATTTAAATTAAAAAAAAAAAAAAAAATTAAATATAGATTATAAAATTATACTTAGAAAAGTGTGGGTTGTTTGTTTATTTTTTCTTTAATTCCGTATTTTTTATAGTTATATGGATTTGTTACTTTAATTTATAATATTTTAACATACAATTCTTTTTTTGTTATAATTTTTTTTGTAATTTTTTGTTGTAATTATATTAATTTATTAAAAAGATGACGGTTTTTGTTTATTTTTTCATTTGTCTTCTTTTCTTGTGGTTGTTGTTGTTGTTTTAGCCTAAAAATAGAAAGAGTTTATTGTTGTTGTTTAAGCTTACTTTTTTTTTTGTTTTTACAACTGTCTTAATAAAGAATTTAGAGAATTTTTGTTGTTGTTGTTGTTAAAAAGTTTCTCTACTAATTTTATAGAAATGTGATTTTTTTGCTTGTTTTTTGTTGTTGTTTTGGTTTTTTTTTTATTAACTTTATTTTATTTTCTGGGTTTTTCTTTATTATATTTTAAATCAAAATTATTTCTTATGTTTTGTATGTTATAATTTGAATTATTATTTGTTGTTGTTGATTTTTCATCTTCTTTATTTTTTCATTATTTATTTTAAATTTATTTTACTGCTGCGGATGCTAAGTTAAAGAAAATATACGACGACGACGAGAAGATTTTGTTTATTTAGCGATTAGCATTCTTAAGTTGATTGGACAACCAATCGAGACCCTCATAGAGACCATCGCCGCTGGTTGCACACGTCGCTTGTATATACCAATTGCGGTTTCTTAGTGAGTGAAGACCGAGTTTGTCAGTGATTTCGGCTGCATTCATTGCATTTGGCAGATCCTAAAAAGAAAGTTAAATTTTATGTTAATTAGTTAATTGTTGAACATAATTTAAAGGCTAAATTATTACTGCAAGAGAACTTTACTATAAAGAGCCCTCTACCCTACCAAAAAACATACATTCTAACTCCTATATTCGTCATTATTATCTACCTATTATATTATCTACCTATTATATTATAACACCTATTAAATTAATTTAATACTTAGTCATGTTTAAAAGAAAACTAAAGAAATCATATTACAAGACAAGACCTGTTCGTCTAGTAAATTAAAAAGTAAAAACTTGAATTTGAACTTTATTCTTTATTTTTTTTTATAAAGTTGTTTTTATTATAATTAAATATACGCTATTGTTTTTTTCTTGTCAATAAACATACATATTAAAAAACATGTTACTATAGAGAAATTAATAGAAATTAGTTTGCTTCGCTTATCTTACATTAAAAAAACGTTATCAATAAGATAGAAGTAGGGACAAAAATAATGCCAAAAGCGATAAAAAAAAAAGAAAAAATGTGCACACTACTATTTAAGAACACATAATTTAAGAGATAA